GACTGTGTTGGGGAATAATGGTGTGCACAGTTCGTACCGTTATGTCATCTCTCGTTGTATGCTGGGTACATTGTACGATGCAGATGGGTTAAACATGGTAGCGTTTTTGTGTACGGAGAATGTGGGGGGTCAGTGACAGCATAATCAGGATAGGCCTTCCATGACTGATACACAAAGCAGTTCCGTCGACATTGCTGCTTGCTGCACTGCGCAGAAAGTCTAAACCAGTGGTTCCGCAGGTTCTTCTTTTGACTAATTTGTAGTAGGCACTGACGTACGTGGTTTAGGTTCCTCAGGATATGGTAGGTCATTGTACATTCACTACGTTGGCACCTATACCCAGCTTTGCGCAATCTCGGGGCTTTCAGCCTGTATTGGTATAGAAAGTAAAGCCATTTGTTATAGCTTGGTGGCTGTTCGTTGTGTAGTCTTGAGTGCAACAAGACCTTACTTTTCTCAGGACTGCTTAATAATCCACATGAGGAGCTCGTTTACCTTTAGCATCTGTGAGCACTGTCCCAAATCGCCCGAATCGGTTCCGCAGAAAACTGTATTACTAGTTCCAGATTGTGATGTCTTGAATTTCCTTGAATAGTTGCTGTAAGCTTGAACTAGCATCTCAGAATCGCGCAACTGAGAGACGGTCCGCGGGATGTGGTTGCCAAGGGTGCTAACGCTGTTCGGCCGAGGACTAAAGCCAACCACTGTAAATTAAGACGAAATGAAATGGAACGGATTCCTGAATGGCAATTCATAGTCATTGCCTAAGTAGCTGTGCAGCACATTTTTTTAACTGCTGGTAAACTGTTGGCTCGATTCACCAAAATTATGACTCCTTAGAATTATAAGCTTTCGAAATACCTGTTTTCTGACTTCCAGTTAGAGATCAGAAAAGTACACCAGCAACACTAACATCTTATATAAGTTGATAAGAACAGAGAGCATCTTAACAATCATGCATGTAATAGGCTATAGGACAGAAGACTAGTAGCTCAGGTTGTTCAGATGGCAGCTGAACTGTTCGCTGAGCTTGGCAATTTGGTTTCAAACGTTTGGTCACCAATCGAGGGGACATTATCAGTGTGTAGTTGAGTGGCATGCAGTGGCGTAGAATAGTGTAGAAGAGCCTCAGTGAGAGTGCAAACAAATTGCCAAGCTCAGCAAACAGTTCAACTGCCAGGTATGTAATAGTCACTGTTTTTGTTGCATATCACGCAGTTGGATCATCGTGCCATGAAGGAACAAGATGGGTATGTCATGGATTGGTTACTTTCCTGAAATTGCGCATACTTGCCATTGGATCACTGGCTGAACACCGTTATCCGAATGGAGCAACCAGCTGTTCTATAAGACCAGCGTTTGATCCCCGTTATCTTGCTTGTAATAATAAATGGTGCGGTTTCAAAATTCGTAGACGATATGCCTCAGTTCATTGTGCCACGGAGTTGTAATCGCTAAGGTACCGTCATCGCCTAGGGGGTTTGTAATCAACAATTGATATCCCGCCATCACTAGTGAGCGGTATTAATATTTACGTTTGTTTCCATGACATTATGTCAGTCATTTGGTCTCTATAATGAAGTGAGGGTACCCGGTTCGCTGGCTGTGAATAAAGCTACGATTATGCATGAACAGTGGATGAAAAAATCGTAGGGACAGTAGTACCAATAAACTGTGTGGCTATCCACATAGCGGGAAATCGTTGTAACCAGGGAGCAGTTCAGAATTTACATTAAATTTCGCAATATACAAACGTAGTATCTAATACTTACTCCCGTTAGTACAGAATCAACAATAGAACAGTTCAGATGTAGGCAAGCTTTGCTTTTCACACAAAAGCTTTGTAGGCCGAGTGAATTATTCGAGGGTTAATATAACACTTATAACAAACTGGGATGATAATCGCGATGAATGGGATGTAGGCAGAAGGTCAATGGTGTTACAGATGAACGCATCACTCCAAATATTGCATGGAACGGTCATAAGTGGTCCGCGTTACAAGGTCATACATGTGAGCCCTGTTAACGATGGGTGTGTGGATGATGTGACGTTCATTCTCTGCCCTGGGTCCGTCCGCCAGCGCTCCTCAGACCGGTCGGGTTAACACAACTCGCCACACGCTCGTAGACTCTGCACCGTCCATTCTGTTCACACAGCCGTCCACTTTGCTAATCTCAACCGCCTCCGGAGTCAGCCTCTGGCGAGTTGATGACAACAACTTTCTAACGATGTTGACGTTATACAAGTCGATCTCATGCCCTTTATCTATCGCGTGTATCGCTACTACCGAACTCTCTAGTACAGCCATATATTCAAGCTGGTTTATTGGTGGCTGTGTTAAAAGTCTTTTGTGTTCTGCTATCCTTGTACTTAGCTCTCTTGAGGTTTACCCGATGTACAGTCTTGACAATTAATTTTGTAGACCCACTTGCTTGTTCTGTCTGCAGAAAGTGGGTATTTCTATTGCACTAGTGTAGAGTGCAGTGTTTGGCCTTTCTGAAAAACTACCCGTATGTTTAATTTAAATAAGACCCTCCGGATGGCGTCTGACGTTCCATATCTATAAGGAATATCTACCATCCCAGTCCACTCCGTAGTAAGCCGTGGTTGAGGATTTAATTTTCGCTGCTTTTCACTAACCGACTCGGGTATCCACTACCAAGCATTTGGTTCACTGTTTCTTTGTAGACTATCTTCTTACCTTCTTACTCTGTGCACAGGGTCTGGGATCTGTGAAATAGAGATGAGGCTATTCCAGAATACACATGTTTTGGGGGACCTGAACTATAGTGGAGTACACCATCTGTGACCGTCGGCTTAAGTTATGTCGTCGTTTTTAGACTGCCACTATTCCTGTGATCTAAGCAATCAAGAAACGGCAATGTCCCACTGCCAGATTCCAATTCCATAGTGAAATTTATAGTCTCCGCAAGAGTGTTCAAGTGGTTTAGAAACTTGTCTTTCTTATCCCGTTTTATGATAACAAAGGTGTCATCCACGTAGCGCCACCAAATTTTCGGTGAGCTACAAGAGTTAGTCAGCACCTTCGTTTCAATGTCTTCATGTATCGCGTGTATCGCGTGTATTACAACGTAGAAACGGACTGTTTTTAAAATTTTATTTGGTGTACCCGTTCTGTGGTTGCATTGCCACTCGCAATCTCTATTCAGACCTCGGCTCACTTTAAATTAGACCTCGGTTATTTCGATCACAAAGACCGTACCCGAATTGGAGGTATTTCGGTGTTGTTCCTCTCTGAATGTTTTCTAATTCAAAACTATCGGCAGCATCGCCTTCATAATTTGCCAGTATTCATGCAGTGGCCGTATATATAATTTGAGGGTGTCCAGTATGGTTTCCATCGGATTACAAGCTCCCAGCAGAAGTCTGTAGGCACGAAACTTGTTCCAGAATCTTAAAACAGGTCGAGCACAGTGCAAAACTACGAAATTACCTACATTTGAACCCATCAATATAAGTAAAAGGTAGTCGATAAGTAAAATACCATAGATATGGCTTAATGCACTCTATCTGATTGCTGGATAATATAAGTACTAAAGGTCGGTTCATAATTAAATGACTATAAATCTGATTAAATATAGTCAAGTCATAGCTTTGTGGACCCAGGTGTGTGCATGTCCATAATTTTACTATCAACTGTAAATTTGCTGCAGGGTTATCATTAAAAGTGCTACGTTTGCAAATGGATAGAATAATGAGCGGGATGCACTGTCATAGGTCTATCAAGAAACGAACTAAAAGCTGAATATCTTCGAGATTCATATTCATACAAAACGGAAAAACTTCAATTAATATTGCTGTCCAGAATTCGTTTCTAATGAGGCAAAATATTTCGTCCCCAGTCAATAGATCGAGGATTGTGCTTGTCATCGCGCTTTTATATCCAAACGTGTTTGGAGTAGAGTGTCTGCTGACCTTGGAAGTTGATTGAACAAAAATGTCTGTCAGCTTCATTTTCAAAATTGAGAAATATACAGTAAATACTCTAAAAGAATGAGATTCTGCAAAACCGGCTACTACCAATTTGAAGGCCTCGTCTTCATATCTTGAAGCCAGCCTCCTTGTACGGGAAACATCTGTAGATGATCTTGATCTCAGCGACAAAATGGTACACGAGCTTGCGCTCAGATGAGAATCCATGGCAACTTGAAATCAATGAATTTAGTGGCCATACATACAATAAAGGGTTAAGGACACACAGTATGGTGCACGCCGTAATCACGGTCTTCAGATTCCCTACAACTTTGGCTTACTAATACCAGTGAAAACCGCACCAGTTGCTTTGGGTCTGACAGGAACTATTTACGCAGGCCACGGCAACAAGCTCTGAAGGATTCAGTGACTGAAATCGCACGGATTCGTTGTGTGCATAGAAGAATCTTAGGTATGGAGTCTCGAGTCCTAGTCTACCGACACAATGCCTCTTTTGTTGAAGCAGCCCGTCATAGCCTCTGTGTATCGGAGTTTGGTTGAACGCCTGTGGAGAGGACGAAAAGTAGCTTATGAATTGATGTCAATGCTATACATAGACCAGAACCGTGAGCCACATGGACGCCAACCGTATGGTTTCATAAACTTACCAACCTGCTCTGTGAAGCAACTTAAATCGATGCATTTTAGCCGTCTCGCTGCCTAAGCGATACAGTCCATGTGTTCGAAGTATAATGTTGTATTTAGAGTATCATGACAAAGTCGAAGTTGGACCCGAAAATTCTTTACGGAAATGGAGAACATCATGAACCAAAGCAACTATTTACTTAGCATCCACTAAATTCACCAAGACGCTTGATAAAACTAGATGGGTAAATTAAGATAACGTAGTAAAAATTTCAGGTCTATTGAGCGGTAATATTTTGTAATCTATGCCATATGACAGTCCTACAGAATGACAAAACTGTTCTGTTATTTGAATTATGAGAAGATTCTGGAATCCCCCATTGTTTTAACCTTGTCCCTCGCTCCGTTCTGTCTTGCGTCTAATGCTTGAAAATAGGAAGGTATTCGCCATAGTTGTGTCGCGCTTGTACAGTTCAAAGTGTTATGAGATACGTCACACCGGTAATCGAACTGTGTGCGTCGGGTGGGTCAAGCGTCCTAATACTTCATTTGTACTTCACCTGGACACCCGTTTTATAAACGCGCTTTTCAAATGTCTTCGCCTACTAATTTTGCATTTGTACATTTGTACGATCCATGTGCTTATGAGCTATTACCTCGAACAGAATTACAGCTGATTCCAACTACATGCTCCTTGCCGCTCCATGCTTCATGCCGCTATCATGGTTGAGGTGTTTCTGGGTAGGAGTGCCTGCGAAGTATGAAACATAGGCCACCGCGTTACATGTTTGCACGCCGGGATTCTGTGTCTGTTTGTAGTTAATTGCGAAAGTACAAGAATGAAGTCACAGATTGCTACTACTTTGAAAATGCAGATCAGTGTATTAAGGTGCGAAACAAATGGGATTTGTATGTTAGAGCACCTAACAGCCTGTCATCGTTGCACAAGCCGGCAAGACACAAGCGGAATGTAACTATAGACTTTTCAATTAAATCAACAGTTTAATCGGAAGCAGTAAGTGGAGGATAGATGAGTTTCCATAATGAGTGAAGCACAAAGTGAAGATTCGAGCACGATTAGCTTGTTTTGGTAGCATTTTATTTGTGATTGTGGGCAGGAGAATGGATAAACCAAAGAATAAACATGCCAGAAGGCCAAAGGATTAACCTTTGCACAACGATGGTTCAAAAATCCAGGTATCCAAATCCGTAGTCATTAATATAGCAGCTTTCGCTCAGTAAACTGATTACCTCTGTTTGGCTTCACATGAAGTATCACTGTATCAGAAGTCATGGCCAAACTGTGCAGCAGCGACTTATATGGACTTCACGTCTGCAAACTCGCCCCTAACATCTAAATGCCCGAACCAAATTTAGCGCTGGTCACGCCTCAGGCCAGTGATACCTCATCATGATTTCAGAGTCCTCGTTACGCCCTGAGATAACTGATTATGAGATTACTTTATCTGATTTGTCGCCGCTCCGGAATGGTAGAGCTGGAAGGGCAGGAGGATTGATTCTTTGTTTCAAAATTAGTCTAGAAAGTGTACTTATTGCTCTGTCAAAAACCCGAGCTGCTAAATCTCAGTGTGGCCCTAAGTAAGAAGCATGCCTAATAGCAGCAACAATTTATGTAACCAACACCTCATCGGAAATAGACTACCGGAAAAACAACTTTGTGAAAGTTGCTTTGAAACCGTCATACAGACATTTTCCTAGCGAGAGACTTTAAGGCTCACCACATGGAAGTGCCAGCAAAAGATGGCACATATTTTATACTTTGCCTTCTGAAGCTAATCCCCAGCTACGCCTTGTGAAATCATGATATTTCTCCCTCCAATTTTTCACGGCGAACAAACCGTCGATACTTGCTGCTGCGTTCGTCAAAGAAGAACTCATCATTGACGCGAAATTTAAACGCAGTCCGTTGGATCCTATCCCTCAGGTGACCCTACGTGACTGTCTGTATACGCTGTGTGGAATATCCTGAATAGGAGGATAAACTCTACACTGTAACACAAGTTCAGGCATTGTGCGCGCTATTTATAGGGATAACTTGGAACTTCATGACGGAATACCCCCTAGAAATCGCCTGGAAAACTTGCAACATGACGTTTAGCTCACTAGGCGCGTACTGATCAGAGCAGAAATACTTCCATCGTCGAAGCGAATCCAAGTCTATGGAGCAGAGACGTAACTCCATGCCCTTGAGGTAGTTGGCATGATAAGCTTACAAGGACGCTTCGAATGTCGAAACTTGGGCTGTCTGGGTGGTTCCGGGCAAATATTGTGTGAAACTGATCCGGAGCAAATGAAAGGATTGTGAACAAACCGCTAACTATTACACCGGCTCGTAAATAGAATTTATGCAAACTGCTTCACAGAAACGACTCGATACGATTGACGGTTATATGCGAAGAGCGAAGTCGATGTTTTGCGGCAACATCACACCCTACGTTTCAAAGGGCAAAGAACTTAAAAGATAACCCACTACTTTTGACCACTCTAAAAAGCTTATTAAGTTTGTTAACTCCAGTCAAACATAGTTATCCGAAAACAGACCAAATTTGACCAAAGGCTGCGCACAAACCGGCTAAGATCTAGCCGCACAACACTCGGTATTGCGCCAGTTGTGTCTATAGCATTTCCCGCAAAGTCGCATAAAAGGTCCAAAATTTTGCGAAGAAAGTCCTAAATGTTGCAAAACCCTGCGCGATTCGCCAGCCGCTCAGAGCCAATCATTTGACCTTAAGCGTGCACTCAATCGCTGGATACCAAGGTTCAATGCCTTATTCTGGGAAAGTAAGCGCGCTGCCAGTTCACTTGGTGAGACCAGAAAATGAACCTTAGAGGCATGAACTTCGACGCTGCAAAGGCCTTGTATGCGCCCACCTCACGTCCGAACATTAGATCACAATTAGTCTGAGAGCCTGGTGGCCGTATGGTCTGCACGCCTGGCTTGCAATCATAAGGTCACCAATCCGAATCTATTTTCCTGGCCTGCTTTGTCATCCTGGATGTCTTCTTGGTGCTCTCCCAGTGTCTGAAACCCCTGTCCATCGAAAAAATTGACTATCCCGTTGACTAAGTGTTACACTGAGCCAATACGATGGACAGGATGATCAAGTGTCACGATAACTGATCATCACATGAATCCTGGTGCCATTTATGACAAATGTCATTGCCTGTCGTGTAAGTGCGAAATACTGCCAAGCAGCCGGATTATGTACGGCACATATATCTCTCAACACGACTTGGGTGCGCAAGAATCCGTTATTTCAACTTTTAAAGCGCTTATCGTAATGATTCTACCTTGTTAAGCCTGGTACTGACAGAACATCAAATACACATAAGCGGAATTTTAAAGTCACTACTGCTATCTATCTGAGCTCAAGAACTGTGGCTTGCGAAAACGCAAATTTCTCACAATTGGGGTTTTCAAACAGCAGCCGTGCAAACATCGGAACGCTATAAACTACCCACTCTGAAGATATCTTCGACGCACAAGGATACCTAAATAATAATACTGCCGTTCACATTCACCATGTGGTGCATTCCCTAGCTCGCACCCTTGATCATTGAGTTCATTGTGATTATGTTGTTGCATTTACACGGGTAGCAACAATTGTCTACACCGTACACAGGACACAGTGTCTCCATTAGCGAGGTTTGCAGTTTTCTCATTATTTCTGTTGCAAAATTTGGCCGTAGTTTAGCCCGGCCAGCGGTGGACAAGTTGACTGAGGGTTTGTCTGGACTAACTCGTTATTCACTTAACTTCGTGTCAGGCCCCAATACGCTGAGTATTTTCAACCCAACTTCATTTCCCTAGTCCACACTTCTCTTGAAAATCTCTAACCAGCCTTGGTCATCGCGATTCGCATGATTGCACTTGTCAACGGAATGGGCGTCGCACACAGAAGCTGCCACATAGTACAAACCTAACTGTCCTAGTGGCCAACGGTATATCAGCGATGTGACTGGCCGCGCTAAGCTGAGTTCAAATGTTGCTACTGCAATAATGATGTTGATCGAAGTAACGTTCCAGGTAGTGAATTCCCCCCAAGTTGAGCCAGGCCGGAGTAACACTCAATCAACTTGTCCACCGCTGGCCGGGCTAAACTACGGACAAATTTTGCAACAGAAATAATGCGAAAACTGCAAACCTCGCTAATGGAGACACTGTGTCCTGTGTGCGGTGTAGACAATTGTCGGTACCCGTGTAAATGCAACAACATAATCACGATGAACTCAATGCATCACATAGTGAATGTGAACGGCAGTATTATTATTTACGTATCCTTGTGCGTCGAAGATATCTTCAGAGTGGGTAGTTTATAGCGTTCCGATGTTTGCACGGCTGCTGTTTGAAAACCCCAATTGTGAGAAATTTGCGGTTTTCGCAAGCCACAGTTCTTGAGCTCAGATAGATAGCAGTAGTGACTTTAAAATTCCGCTTATGTGTATTTGATGTTCTGTCAGTACCAGGCTTAACAAGGTAGAATCATTACGATAAGCGCTATAAAAGTTGAAATAACGGATTCTTGCGCACCCAAGTCGTGTTGAGAGATATATGTGCCGTACATAATCCGGCTGCTTGGCAGTATTTCGCACTTACACGACAGGCAATGACATTTGTCATAAATGGCACCAGGATTCATGTGATGATCAGTTATCGTGACACTTGATCATCCTGTCCATCGTATTGGCTCAGTGTAACACTTAGTCAACAGGATAGTCAATTTTTCGATGGACAGGGGTTTCAGACACTGGGAGAGCACCAAGAAGACATCCAGGATGACAAAGCAGGCCAGGAAAATAGATTCGGATTGGTGACCTTATGATTGCAAGCCAGGCGTGCAGACCACACGGCCACCACGCTTCCCGGTCTCTTTTTAGGTTAGCAAGCAGTTTCGCCCTGAATTGTTTTCTAGTCTCCTTGTGTTCGCTATCAGCCGGAACAGTTGGCAAGCATCTTTATGTTCCTGAGACTGCGTAGTGACCCAATTCCAGGTTGGTGGTTTGATTTTCCACATTAAGACAGCCGCTGCTAAAAGAATCTGCCGGATTTTCGACCAGTGATGTTCTATTGTGTTCGATGAGCGCTTATTCAGCTCGGATGCCAGCGACTTTGTGTATTGCTCGAAAAGTGTGCCTGTAAATTTTGGGCACGAGTATTTTAACAATTCAAATATCTACATTCACGACAGGACGCTAAAATTAAATCTGTGATTGTTAGTATGTGAAACGAAATATTGAATGGCAATTTCAATTTTGTGCTTTACAGCTGCGAGAGCGGCAGCAATTTTGCGTTTGCCACGGACAGCAAAGTAGTTGCTACGCCATTGTACCACACCAACTACACCGTCATTTATTTACGCACGCTATTGGGTCAAACGTGGGATAATCCCAAACGAGCAAGACAGTATCCAAGTCGTACTAGACAGCTATTCGGGCCTTTCTAGCACGCAAATTACATTGGGCTTGCTGCAGGAATGTTTGCATTTAAATCTAAAGTACAGCTTCCGAACCGGCTGATGTGGGTTCGGAACTTGACAGACCAACTTCCAATCGTGTAATGATTTAACTCGCCAGTGCACTCAAATACAGCGGACAAGCATCGCACAGAGACGGTTTCCATTAGACACGCGATTCATTTGTTCAGCTTCAATGACGACATCGTGTCTGGCAATGCACGCGTTTGCGAACTCGCATCTATCAGTTCCTCTCACTCTTGGAAATGGCTGGCATGACGTGCGAAGTAATTTCCTATTCCCTACTATTCAACTATCCGCACTGATATCCCATACTGTGATATATCTGACGGTTGCTACAGCTGGAAAACTCATTTGGTCCTACAATGCACTTTCCAAACATCCTAGTTTTCCTAAAAAAGAAACTGTATTTACATTATCTCAGACTGATCATGAACGAATACGGTGCAGCGAATACCGGCACGAAAAGGACCACAAGTTGAACATATCACTCGGGCATGGCTCACTGGAAGCCGGTCCCCTGTCACTCCCTTGCGCTAGACATCAGATATCGCTTCAACCCCCGTACGAACACACAAACTTACATATGTGCGTACATAGTTTGAGAACACTGTGAATACTCACACGTCCCTACGCGCTGCCAGTGACGGGCTATACAACCGGATACGTAAAACATAGGCCAATAACGGGATCAAAATACGTTATTTTTCTAAGCAATTAAGAAAATGTACACGCATATGTCGAATAGCATTACGACATTTTACAATGCTGATAACCTTGGTGGCTGCTTTGGCAATGCCTTCAAGGAACTGAAGCCTCCATTCCATCTGCGTCATGAGTTTCTGGGGATCCCTGGTCAAAAATTCCTCGTAGTGCACTCTCATCTCATTCTTCACTCTGGCCTTCACCACCTGCCAAACATTCCCGATCGGATTGAGGAACGGATAGTATGGGCTCAATCTCAGTATGGTCACTCCCTGATATCCATCTACTGACGACAGTTCTTCTAGTCGTGTGTGACATGGTGCATTATCAAATACCACGACAATCTGCCGGAGCTCCATCTCCCGTTTCAGGTTGTCTAAATAGCTTCGCAGCTATTCGGGTGATAGGAAACCTGTGAATGAGCCTCTCCTGGTGGTCATCGACACTTTCCCTCCCACTGTGAGTGCACCGATCAAATGCAAATTGATGTCTCTACTGTTGGCAACTTTGCAACAGGCCCTCACTCCTCTGGGCGCCCGACCACGAGTAAGTTTGCAGCAAAGGTTGAAATTCGCTTCGACAATCCAAATGAAGAACTTGCCATCGCTCTCAAGTTGGAGAAACTTCTGAACGAATTCCCTGCGTATCCCTTTGGTTCGCTCATTGTTCATTCCTTCTGGAACCTGATAGAAGTTCTTCATAGTTATCAATCGACCATCTAGGTGCCGTGCGATTGTTGACTTCGAAATGTCCTTGTCCATTTCTGCTCCTACTTGTACCCGCATTTCCCATAGCATAAGAGTTGAGTCCCTTGCCAGCCAATCCAGAATCCGCTTACGAGCGCGCCTGCTTAGAAAACCACGAATTTCTGATGAGATACTCTGTCGAACTCGAGAACGCACGTCGACGACGTTAGTATCACAGACATGGTTTCGGTCGTGCGCTTAGGTTCCAGCTGTTCATTGCTCTCAGACTAATTTTGATCCATGCAAGCCCGTTGCACCGCCGAAGTTCATGCCTCTAAGCTTCATCTACAGGTCTCACCCCAGAATAAGGCACCGAACCTTGGCATCCGGCCAATAAGTACACGCTTAAGGTCAGACGATTGGCTCTGAGTGGCTGGCGAATCGAGCAGGGTTTTGCAACAGTTGGACTTTCTTTGCAAACTTTTGGACTTTCTTTGCAAATTTTGGACCTTTTATTCAACTTTGCGGGAAATGCTTTAGAGGGAAAATATGGCACTTTTGTTGGAACCAAGGTTATCATTCGTATTAACTTAAGATTTAGTGTCACTGCTACTGCAAATTTCCAAGTGGCTTTGAAAACTTATGGAGTATTTCGTCGCAGATGAATCGATGAATAATCAGGTATGCTGGAGCATTGCAACACCGTTGTAACATGGCTTCCGCAAAAATCGTTCATATGAAGTTAACCCAATTTTAGTGCCCAAGTTGAAGGTGTAAAAGGTTCTAGTGCGATTTATATTGTGCAGATTAGGAAACCGATACATGGCATGGGGTCATTCGCGCCTTGCGCGAGTATCTGTATGTGTTACATCAGCACCTTGTTGTTTTGATTTCTCAATCTTCAGCAAACTTATCCAGCCGAGAATGCAACGATCCTGTCTACCAATTGATATGAATGGCTCACATCATGGAATTCTCGCTATGTCCTTTCTGAACAAGCGAAATGACCTACCCAATTTGCGGAAGCTTTTGAAGTTATCAGATTCATCCGATGTTAATATTATTGGTAATGAAGATAACAGAGCATTTAACACTTATTACTTTGTTCTCCAAGAAGGTTTGATGAAACGCATTTATTGATTTTGGCTGCGCAGTTAATTACGCTGTGAAAAGTACGTTGTCGGCAGTTTTGCTGCATTCTACCTTGTCAGTTTTACTTTATATAGAGATGAGGTAATTTCGCCTCTAGGGGAGTTGAAGGCACGGAGGAGAGCGACAGGAAGGAGGCGCTTAGCTTCTCCATTTTATAAAAGCTCTTCAGTAGCCATCGGTATATGGGTTGAACCCGGTGGCTGGGTAGAATATTGATCTAGGTGCACTTGTGGTGTTTAATTAAAGATGGAACTTAATCCGGTTACGTAACCAGCTGGAAACTTTACCAAATATGTACAACTATTGAGTACTCAGACCAAAGCTTTGGACAGTACATGAAGCTTGTTAACTTGAGAGCAGGAAACGGCAATTATTGCGCGATAACGCATTTTGACCGCTGAATCTTTGCTCTTGCTGATCTGGTAAAACGTATGCGCCACGCAGGCCAACAGCACTTGAGCCACTTTGTTCTTCTCTGAGACAAGCTTACGGCAAGAAAAAATACGAATGTGGCTGAGACGCTGGCTGTTTCTGAACGGTAAGCTGAACATAGTCGCATTTCCATAAACACTAAGCTCCTCGAAATGCGCTTTCCCTTAAATAGAATCCTAGGCTGACATTTGGCTGGGATACAGGAGTTGGACAACAGTCGGAGTAAGCAAGGTATGCTGCATTTGAACGGAGCTACAAACTCCGATCTATCAAAAACGTACGAGGTGATGCAACGAATTTTAATGCATGGATGGAGACCGTAAGCCTGGGAGCAACGATGTTGTCTAACTCAACGCTTCGACTAACCACAAACTTTATCCTTTTGAATTTTGGCTGTGCCATCTACTTACACAACGGTTGCGAATTTTGCATTCTTTCGAACATACTTCAAGATACTTCTTCCTGCATTAGTGAAGTTGTACTATAAGTCTTATCTGACTGGTTGCAGGTTGCTTACTCATTCTTTTGCTAAGGTATTTCTAGATCTTGAGGCTAACCTAGTACATGATTTTCGGGGAGAATCTCACCTACACTCTAGCGCACAACTTGGCTGCATTTCAGTTGCCAACCGTTTTTGACTTCCTTTTTAGAGGGTTTCACCTGTGTTTGAACAACCTCTCATCAGTTCCAATTCACCATCGTGTGAATCGGCTACAAGTCACATTCGCATGCATTGAAAATCTACCAGTCGCGAGGTCAGTAATTTCCAGCTGCTTTCTACCTAAGGTGGATGCAAACAGCAAAGTCAGACGACGCTTTGCTGTCTTACTTGAGACTCACTGAGGTCGTTGAGAGTTGAAAAGATAAACCAATTGGTGCATTAGACCGTGGCAGTCTGCTAACACAGGTGACAAAAAGGCTAATCACCCTAACCGCATTTGTGGCTTTAAAATAGTATCATCGTTGTACACTTAGCTAGAGGTGGGAAACACCACAGCTACTGTGCCGCAATACCTAAAAGAAAAAGGAATAAAATGCAACAGGTGCAAGCCAGCTGAGGTGCCCGTAACAGACGGGTATGGTTCCGGTAAGCTGCCTGCCGCCTACTATGCAGCAGAAAAAATAAGTTACTACGAAAAATTATAAAAGGCTAAATAGTGAATTAGTGGTTGCATGGGGAGGGACAAAGCAATTCACAACACGAACCCCACTGAGGTCGGCTCCTAGCCGTACTAACAAGTGTATCCAGCCAAACGTGTTCATCGTCTTTCGAACCCCAACCAGGAAGCCGAGAGGCTCCAACCGAGGCCAGCTTCGAAGTGACGGCCTTCATTCCACTCGACCAAGTCATCGCTTGTCCACCTCACATCTTCTTCTTCCACACCCCCGGTGCGCAAGCAACGCACGTCGCAGAAGTCCGTGGGCTGGCATGCGTAACATTTGGCCGAGCCATCAGAGCCTAGTGCGTGAAATAACGGTGCTGAGCGGTACATTTCCTTTCCCTGTGCAGTAAAAAAGGCGTCGAACACGCACGTTGCTCACGCGGTGTTCCCACCAGATGTTAGTTAAATTGCGAAGGCACCGGTGCTCGAACGTAACTAGCCTCTTTATGTCCGTTGATCTAAGGGGCCAGATTTCACAACCGTACAGTAGGGTCGAACGTACAGCTGTATTGTACACTCTACCCTTCAGGACGAGAGGGATATCGCGCAGGCAACATAAGTGGTGATGGTTAGCAAAATGGTCTATAGCTTTTGCTTTATGGTTCGTGATCTCATATTCAATCCCATCTGCGCTGATGTAACTTCCCAAGTAGTCGAATTTTTGAACGACTTCTAGCTGATCCTGAACAAGGGTCAGCGTAGGAAGCGGATCAGGCAAATATTGGAGGAGCGCTTTCCACTTTGAGGGTGAGAACCAAAGCCCAAAGTGACGGACAGCCAATGCTAAACTGTCCAGTGCCGATTGGCACATTTGTGAGCTGTCACATATTAGGGCAATATCGTCAGCATTCTCTAAGTCTAGAAGTCGTTTTCCTAGGAGCAGATTCACACCTTCTTAGTCGTGTTCTGTAAACGCGGTTTCCATGAATTCATCAATGACGAACTTAAAGAGGAAAGGTGACAGCGGGCATCGTTGTCTCACAACACTGCAGATATTAAAGGGCGACGATAACTTGCCATAAGCCCTCAATTTGTCTGAGTTACGGCCGTATAATTCTCGGATAATATATACCTATTTCTCAGGTACACCTTTCCTGAGTAGACAGTCCCCAAGTGCACATCTATCCGCCGAATCGAATGCACCTTTGATATCGAGGAACACTACAACGGTGGGCCGCCGATATATGTGATGGTGCTCCAACAACTGACGCAAGGTGAAGATGTGGTCAATGCAGCTACGACCTCGACGAAATCCAGCTTGCTCTTCACGAATCTGGCTTTCTCGAGTGTCAGTCACTCTGGGAAGAATGACAGAAGCAAGCAATTTGGAGGCGATGGAGATCAGACTGATTCCTCTATGGTTGCCGCATTCCGATCGTGAGCCTCCCTTGATAATTGGAATTATGACGAAGCGGCACCAGTCGGTTGGGACAGTTTCCTGCTCACACAGTTTCACTTGTAACTCAAATAAATCACCCACAAAAGCAGGCCTCCGAGTTTGAAAAGGGCTGGTGGAAGATCAGCTGGTCCCGCGGCTTTTTCTTAACTTCGACAGTACGATCACACGTGCGACATCTGAGCGAGTGGGTGGATCCAAAGGCATAGCCCACGGAGCGGAGCGATCAGCGGCCGGCAAGAAATCTAACAATTCCGACCGATTAAATTGCCTTTCTAAGTGCTCAGCCCAAAGCTCCAAGCGTTTTGACAAGTTGTGTATAGGCTGTCCACTCTCCTCACGTATAGTTGCACTAACATCAGATCTCCTGCTGCCCGTTTCCCATATCATTCGGAATAATTTACGATGGTTGCAATGGGCAGCGGCCATATCTATCTCTGATGCACGATGAGACTACCAGGATTTGCGGTCTGTCTTCAGGCTATTAAAGAGCTTTGTCCGAATTTCTTTGCGAGTTTCATTGTGTTCGCTTCCAGCCGGAATATACCGGCGAACATCGATAAGTTCCAGAGACTGCGAAGAGACCTAATGTCCATGTTGGTTAATTAGACTTACCACATGAGGATTTTCCTGCTGCTAGTAAGGTCTGCTGAATATGAGACCAGGGACCAGTGAGCACTTACTCAACTTGCATGTCAGCGTACTTTGATAGGATTTGAGAACAGCTGGCTTAGTCAGTTGGCTAGTGTCAATGCACTCACAACGTCGCCTTCAGCGTCCGCCAAAACGCATGCGCACGTCAGCACATACAACTGCATGGTCGGTGTCCACACTTGTGCTCCAAATCGAGCGACAGTTCTGGACGCAGCCTCTCTATCGATACCTTATCGTAAGGTGATCGATTTGCGTCCGTAGCTGGTTCGAGGCTGGTGGGCGCTAAGTCACCCTCCGACGGGTGCCTTGTCGGAAATTGGTGCTCGCAAGAAACGAGCGAGCATCTTCACACAAATGAAGTAACCGCTAACCGTTATCATTACGGCAGCCTGCACCAGGTTGGCCGCCCAGATGCAGTTCCTTGGTGGATAATTTGCCAACATGAGCGTTCAAATTCTCAGCCAGCATAACAATGTCCGAGGTTCTTTTGTGTCGAAGGAGCTCGTTCAATTAACGATAGAACTCGTCTTTTACCGAATCATCGCTAGAGTTTGTGCGAGCATAGGCAGCGATAACGAATAGACACCTGTTAGTCCCGCGCGACTTCGAAGCTTTGAACGAGCCAGCCAATCGGACCGCACACAACCGTCTACTGATTGGTATCCAGTCAACCAGAGCAGATTCAGCCCAAGGACTTAGGATAATACCAACACGGGCTTGGCCGGTGCTCAAAGCTGCATCCTCACCGGATAGGCACAGTGAGAAACTGCTGCTGGTGTCACCTGCTTGGGAGAACAAAGTGAGCATTGTGCTCAAGTCTTGCATGCGGGTCTCTGATAAGCAAAAGTATTGATTGAGAGCGTTTCTAATGTTCGGGAAAGCGCTGCCTGTTGACTGATCTGTAGCAATTTGAGTACATTGAGACATACCAAACTGTAGGTTGATCAAGCTGTCCAGATGCAAGCCGGTGAACTGGGCTTGGCAGCTTGGTTGGAAATGGGCTTGTCGAATAAACAGGAATGACGCCCCATGTTCACATGTGATTTGAAACTAAAAGGTAAAAGCCTATCAAAGCAAGTTGGGAGAGGGCCAAAATTGGGGGTTGAAAACAGAGGGGATAAAAGTGAAGCTGGAACGGGTAAGAGTGAAAAAGCGTAAGAGTGGAATAAGAAATCGGTAGGATTGAGCAGTATCATCCAAACCCTATCCACCCTGCTCGATGCGGCATTTGGGACACCGTGGATTATCTTTTGCAGTGGCCAGAACATCAAGAAAGATGTTGAAGAGCAATTCAATGCATTGCGTGGGCAGGATGGTGTCAGGTCGCCCAGACCTAGACAAGA